GTCACTATGCTCGCTCAAAAATATAAAATACAACCAGTTCCCGTGTCGCTTCGGACCATTCGTCCTACGACATGATGGGAACCGGAGGAATCGTAAAGCATGCGACTCACCGATCGCTGACTTCACTGCGATCGCTTTACCGGTTAGGCATCTGTGACAGCACGTCTGGTAGGCATTGCATCTTAGAGGTTGATTGACTGATTGATTGGTTGGCTGATTGATTGATTGATTACTTGGTTGGTTGACTGCTTGGCTTCGTCAGATTTGAATTTGGCGGCTTGGCAGTGGACCCTCTGTAATCATAAAAGAATCACAACGATTAATTAACTGTGTTTATCGATTTGCATTTTGATAACATAAGTTTTTTTACTACTACTCATGCAAACATGTAAAAAGCTTTTGATTTTGAGATGTAAAAACATATAGAGGCATGCAGGAGTCGGTTATAAATTTGCAAACGTTCATGTCACAACGTGAAATATTGTAAAATAATTGGAATTGTATGTCAAAATTCTTGGGTAATTACTTTAGAGAGCATGTTAGAACTTTTGCAAAAATATAACGGAACATGTAGGTAACTTCACTTTAAATATTAGTAACAGTTTGTTAAAACATTTAAATAACCACTACATAAAGTGCACTGTGATATCAGTAATCGTTTGTCAAAACATTTAAATAACCATTTCATAAAGTACATTAAAGCACCAGTAACAATATGTCAAATCACTTAAATAATCATTGCATAAAGTACACTAAAGCACCAGTAACAATATGTCAAATCATTTAAATAACCATTAAGTAAAGTACACTAAAGCACCAGTTACAATATGTCAAATCATTTAAATAACCATTGCATAAAGTACACTAAAGCACCAGTAACACTATGTCAAAACATTTAAATAATCATTAAATAAAGTGCACTAATAACCATTAATAATTTGTAAAAACACTTAAATAATCACTCCACAAAATACATTAAATCAGTAAAAAATTAATAAAACACTTAAATAACCGCACTATAAAACACACTAATAAATCCGTATACACATGCACAATCACTTAAGAAAACACACAGGTAAAGTCATTGACAGTTGTAGAACCACACCATAAAATTTGTTAATACACCCCCATAATTAATAAAAAAATATTAAATAATGCACACTAAACACTAGTAGTAACACACTAGGTACACTGATATATCCGTATATGTATGCAGGTAACACACCATTAAAGTCACTGACACTTGTAGAATTACACCATAAAATTTATTAATACACCCCCATAATTAATAAAAAATATTTGTTAAAGCACACTAAACACTAGAAGTAATACACTAGGTACACTAATATATCCGTATATGTATGCAGGTAACACACCATTAAAGTCACTGACACTTGTAGAATTACACCATAAAATTTATTAATACACCCACGTATTTATTAAAAAATATTTATTAAAGCACACTAAACACTTGTTACAACACAATAGGTAACATAGGGACAAGCACAATATCGGTTAAGTGGACCCTTGACTCGTACCGGTAAGTGTTGACAGGTGCGATCCGACCTCCTTAATTGGACAGCGTTTTCGAGAAATCTAATGTGTGGAGAATGTCGACTCTGGTTTACTCATTGTGAGAGCATTTGACCTCCCTCTACTGTAAGAGTTTATTGGTAGTTAACACAGCCAATTAGACATCGTATAATCTACCAATAGATCAAATTCGATCTTTTCAGGTGTAATAGTGATTGGTACTGTACAGTAGCCAATTAGACATCATGTAATCGACCAATAGCGTGCAACCATTCTAATTGGACGTTGTATAACTATTCTAACGTCATTTTTTTTACAATTTTATATTTTTCGATTGTTTATTAACAAATTTATTGTTGTAATTATTTAAATTTATTATTTTTTTTAACTTACTTTTGCAGATATGTTGCAAAATGATTGTCGATTAATATATTACGATATATTTTATTCTGACTCATTATTATATAAATTAATTATTGTAATTCATTATTTCGTAATTTTGATTTTTGTATTTAATATCTGAGTTTAAAAATTTGTTAATTCTAATTAAGAATTAACAAATTTTAATTCTAATTAATTCTAATCAAGAATTAACAAATTTTTCTAAATTAGAAATATTTATATTTGGTACCTCAGTTATATTAACTCTTGAGTTCTTTTATGACATGTGATATATGTTTTTGAATTCTTACATTCTTTTATGGGGAATATTTAAAAATATTCATTATCAAATTTTTTTACAGAGCAAAGAAGAAACTACAAAAACGTGTTTCATGCGTTTAACAGAATAGCCAAGGACGAAGGAATTACCACTCTTTGGAGAGGAAGTGTAGCAACAATGGGAAGAGCTGTGGTCGTTAACATATCTCAGCTTGCAACTTACAGTCATATCAAGATGTTAATTGCTAGAAAAAGTATTTTGACACATCGATTATTTCATTTTCTTACTTACTGAGTTATACTAGTATAATTAAGGTTATATTGTTGATATTGCACTGGTATTGATATTGATTCTTTTGCACAGTATACATGGTGGATGGTCCATTACTCTACTTCTGTGCTTCAATGTTATCTGGATTTATAACTGTCCTCAATTCGATGCCACTCGATGTTGCAAAAACCAGGTAAAATTATAACAAATCAATTAGTAACATACTTATATGAAATGATTGACATTTATATTCATAGAGAAGAGCATTATTTTTTACTTTTTCTACTTTCAGCTTTAAACTCTATCTAATTTTAACTGATACAGCTATGTCAAAGGTTCTATGTCTATGATTAATAGTTGTCCACATCTCTGTCTCTGTCTCTGTCTCTGTCTCTGATAACATTTAATAAATTTATAACTTCCAGGGTGCAGAACATAAAAACAACAACAAAGCCACCCGGCTTAATAAAAATGATGGGATCCATCGCAAAGTTAGAGGGCGTACCAGCACTGTGGAAGGGTTTTTGGCCTACATATTGCAGAATCGGTCCACACACAGTTTTGACATTATTATTCAACGAACAAATTACCGCCCTATACAGGCGGTATGCAACTTAGCAAAACAACAAATTTGTGAATCTGTACATGTATATTATATATATGTTATTTATAGTGTAGTATATTATATACTATATATATATATTATTTATAATAAAAAAATATATCCAAAAAAGTTAAGCAATTTTTCAATTATACTATATATAAGTATAGAACATATTGAAAGCAGTATTAAATCAATATTAATAAATATGTAATAAATATATAGCATATTAATGAATAAAATTAATAATAATTGAATTTTTATAAAAATTTAACGTGTGGCGCCATCTCTCCGGCAAACAGGGTGAACTACACACTTTTGAAACTGCTATTTCATTAGTTACTATCTTTCACCGCCAGAGGGAGGCACATGTGACAGAAAAGTAGCGATGGCCGTCAAACAAGAAGAATTCTATAATCAAAGCCGTCGGTCAGAAAGAGTCCTATTTGAATTTATGAACAAATGATTAATTTTTAAAGCTATCGTCGTTTGATAGTTTTCAATTTTATTCAAAAAACAAAATCATTTGTAATTAAACCTTCATTCAGCAACATGTATTAAAATAAAATTCAGAATCCCGATAACATTAGTTATTTTTGAATTGTCTTTCTAAATTTAAATTAATTAACAACTTCGTAAAAATTGACAGTAATGTAAAATTGAAAATAAAGAGTTTTACCAGAAGTATGGTAAATATTATAAAAAAAATGAAACGATGAAACAATGTTTAAACTTTTTAATATTGCTATGTTCAGTATTTGTAGAAGCAAGCAAAGGTTACCGTACATTTATTATTTAAGATATAAGAGAAATAGTAGTTTTTTCGTGTTATATGGTTTAACGATCATAGGATGATTCGATGTTATTGCTATCGTCTAAAGATAACAATGTGCCCCCTCTCATCCACTTCGTCATTGGCGGAATATCTGGGTGAGGAAGTTTAAAAATAATTGTATTTAGTATATAATTTAAAGTTTAAATTAAATTACTTTTATTAATGAAAGTTAGAGATTTGTTATATATTTTTTATCTTCACCTTTAATTGTTTTTATGTTTATTGTATTGCATTTCTTAATGAATTTCTTACTATTGTAAGTAATCATTATAAATATTATTATAATGATAATTAGAATGATAATGATAGGTATGATTATAAGTATCATAATAAAGTAATATTATAACATAATATTATAACATAATATTACTTTATGTTTATTACGTTATAAACATTCAAATGGGTATTTATTTAAATAACCACCTTTGATTTGCAATATGAATGTATTGCATTTACAGTTTTGACGCATTGAACATTTATTAATTACATTGTGTTATAAATAATAAATACATATTACTAACATACTGTTATAAATAATAAACACATATTAATAACATTATGTTATGAATAATAAATACATGTTAATAACGTCGTTATAGGATATACTTATTAATAATATTCTGCTAATTATTTTAAACATTTAAAGAAAACTGTGAAAGTAAAGAATAATAAAACATAAAAGTTTCAAAGTCAAATCCCTCACAGAAGTTTTCAATAAATGGTCAAAAATGTTTAATAAAAGCTAATTGAAAATAACTTTACAGAGCCATGGGCCAGACCGTAACTCACCCCTTCGACGTATTCAAAGTACGGATGCAAATATCAAAAACCTCTTTGACCCAAACGATACGCGACTGTTTAAGAGAAATTGGAGTGCGGAGTTTTTACATTGGTTGGACTGCGAGTATGCTTCGTCAATTAACATATAGTACTGCTAGACTCGGAATGTATAATACATTGTATGATATAAGTCAGTAAGTACAATTTTTTCATAAAACTTTAAACTATCGGTAAAATTAAAGTTGAATGAAAATGCAATTTTATATAATGAATTAATACTTGGCCATTGAATTACCACGTACGAAAATTTAGCTATAACGCAATCGTTGACTCCCCAAATTATAATTGGACAACTCCAAATTGAACCCCATTCAAAATTCGAGTAAAATTGATCACATGACGCACTCGTGCGTCGCGACTCGTCAAAATACAAGGGGTTCATCATTTTTTACCTTGAATGTAAATGTAATTAATTGAAAGTCTTCGTACACACATGTTTACAGTGCCTGGCCATCGAATTACCACGTACGAAAATTTCACTTTTATGGCCATAATTATGTCATATACGGAAAATCTTAGGTCACGCAAAATTATTACTAAATACGTTGATAACGATATAGCAACCGATTTGTTACTGTCGATAATAATCAAATTGTGTGGGTGATGAGCGATTAAGGGCCGTGCGTTTACGTTAGGCTCGAGTATAGCGCTGGAGGTGAAATTTGAATGCCATAGAAAATGTCCGTCTACCAAAAGACTAGTTTACAACTCTACAACCACGTTATCCGAGTTGAAAAGAATTACAGACATTTAGGAAAATAACGAAGATATAAAGCATATGATCAATGTATACAGAGCACGCCGCTGTGACCAAAGCAGAGGAAATATAGAATATTAACATGTGTTAATAATGTTATGTACAGTAGTAGTAGCTAATAAATTACAATTTGAGGTTTTTTAATTTTACAAAGAAAAATGCTGAAAATTTATGGTGGTTATTCGATGGCCAGGGACTATAGATTGAGAAGTTAAATTGTTTAATAATATTTTTTATAAATCCTCTGAATTTCCTGTAGATAAAATTCTTTGTGGGTGAAACAAAATGTTATTTCTTTCTTTAGTTAAATATTTAATCTTTGTAAAGGAAATATTGATTTCGTTTCAAAAAATGTACCTAAAAAAATATACATACCTAAATGTACCGAAATGTTTCAATATTTCGAAGCTAATAAGAATAATAATACATACTACTACAAAAAATATACCCAACTTTAAATAGTTAGTAATGTGATAAATAATTAAACGGTTATATGATACAGGGTATATTTTGGACGTTTAAATTATCCTACAATGGTAGGTATCGGGATGTTTTCCGGTATTGTAGGTTCATTTGTCGGAACACCAACCGATTTGGTTCTAGTTCGTATGATAGCCGATGTACATTTACCACCAGGTAAGAGAAAATCGTATAATTCCTTATTTATTCTCTCGATAATAAATACGATAATATTAACTATTTATCGATTCTACTATTTCATATATTGTAAAACTTTGGAAAATCCTCTGAATTCAAGGTCAACTTTTTAGAGAAACGAAGGAATTACAGAAACGCAGTTGTCGGGTTAATAGATATTGGGAAAACAGAAGGTATACGTGGATTATGGAGAGGAGCTGTACCAACAATGGCCAGAGCAGCAATCGTAAATGGGGCACAGCTGGGTACATACAGCAAAGCAAAATTAATGTTAAAGGATACAGGTACATATTTATGTATGCATACAGTCCCTGGCCATCAAATAACCACCATTTTTTCCGTAGAAAGTCTCAAATTGTAATTTATTAGCTGCTACTACTGTACATAACATTATTAACACATGTTAATATCTTGTATTTCCTTTGCCTTGGTCACAGCGGCATGCTCTGTATACATTGATCATATGCTTTATATCTTCGTTATTTTCCCAAGTATCTGTAATTCTTTTCAACTCGGATAACGTGGTTGGAGAGTTCTAAACTAGTCTTTTGGTAGGCGGACATTTTCTATGGCATTCAAATTTCACCTCCAGCGCTATACTCGAGCCTAACGTAAACGCACGGCCCTTAATCGCTCATCACCCACACAATTTGATTATTATCGACAGTAACAAATCGGTTGCTATATCGTTATCAACGTATTTAGTAATAATTTTGCGTGACCTAAGATTTTCCGTATATGACATAATTATGGCCATAAAAGTGAAATTTTCGTACGTGGTAATTCGATGGCCAGGTTTGCGTGACCTAAGATTTTCCGTATATGACATAATTATGGCCATAAGAGTGAAATTTTCGTGCGTGGTAATTCGATGGACGGCGACTGTAACGTATACATATAAAAATGATTCATTTGTTAACAAAAGGTTTATAATAAAATGTCAAATGATCGGGTACAAAAAGTTTAAATAAAAATATTTTATCAAATAGTTGAACGTTATTGATTAATATTTATAGGCCATTTTGAAGAAGGTGTGTTGTTACAATTCCTTGCGGCCATGATATCTGGGTTTGTGATGTGTTCGACTTCACTTCCGATGGACGTAGCTAAAACTAGGTAAACATGATTTAATTTATTTAATTTATTTTTCCCTCGATAATTCATATTTTCTTTAAACTAAATTTAAATTACTCCATAATAAGCTAATTACTAGTTTTCTATAAAAAATATTTGTATTGACAGTCTGTTCAATTCTGTAATTAAATCACAGAAATTATAGAGATTGTAAACAATACTATAACCAAAATTTAATTATCAGTTTTTAAATCGACATACAAGTTTATAACATTCAAGTTTATACTTTAATTTAATCAATGTACTTCTAAAAGATAATTACTAATATCATTTCGAAATTGATTTAATATTAATTTCAATCTCTATGACTTCATAATATAAATTTATATTTTCGACATTTTAATAAATGAGCCATTATCTGCATCGGTTTGATGACGAGAAGCTACTTGAATTTTTGAAGCTGACTTTGTCCAATGAACAGCATTAATTAACGTTATTAATTAATAAACACTTTTATCTTCTTCATACGAAATTAATATTTCCTTTCTGATTTTGTAAATAGAATACAAAATTGGACACAGCCAACGAAACCGCCGGGAATTGTGGGAATGTTGGTTACCATAGCACGAACTGAAGGCATAACTGCGTTATGGCGAGGATTTTTACCTTACTATTGTAGAGCAGCACCAAACGCGACAGTAACAATGATTTGTTTCGATCAATTACATCGTCTTTACCTTGAATTATTTGTACCTCCTAGTGAATAAAGTCTTATATAGTTTAAAGATGTTTGTTTTTGCATTGTACATTATTATTATTCGTGAGACTTTTTTTAAATTAATTGATATTTTGATTGATACGCGTCAATTTGACGCACGAACGAATATATTTAAAGAAAAACAACTAGAAAGCAATATAATTGAACACTACAAGTAAGAAATGAAAATAGGAGATGTATTTATAGAAAGTTTTTATTATTCGATAATATTTTAGTGCACTACTTCAATATTCTACACTCATATTTTTACTTCCCTCTACCCTGCGAACTGCGATTTGTACTGCGACCCCGGGTCCGAACCCGGCATACCGGCTGAGCCGGCCGCGTGCGACCCGGACTAGCGAAGTCCGTCGTTTATAAGGTATCGTCGGTGCATTCATATTTATTATTGTTGTAATTTTCGCCTGGGTAAAACTAATTTACTAAAAATTTTATTTACATTACGATCGCGTGAAATTAACGCACATCCGTAGAGATAGGTATACCACATAGCAAATTTCAATATTTCAAAGCTTCTGAAGAAAATAGACTTCAATACTTACCTCGTTCAACGGATAAAAGTCCGTACAAGATAAAATAAAAATGCGAACGGTTTTTGTAATTTTCCTAAAAAAATTCGAAATGCGCCAAAATCAAATGCGTCCCTTAAACCTAATGTTAAAGTTATAATTCCGATAAATTCATAAATATAATAAACTTAGTATTAAACAAAATATGTGAACATCTGACTTAATTAAACAAGAATAAATAAGTTAGTATAAAGAATGACAAGTTTCAATAAAAATTATAATGGTTTTAATAAAAGCTACATTAAGTCAGATTACAAAATCACAACTAGTAATTCACATATTAGGCAGACATTCATCAACAGCCAAATTCTTATAATCAAGAATTTGTCGCTCAAAGAAATCAATAAGCGTTGGTAAATTCGTCTCAAATTTTCCTTTTGATTTCAAAGTAAGTGCTTCGTTCAGTTTTATCAAATTAGTACAAGCCATGGTTAATGTGTCCACCATTGAGGGACTGGCAGCTATCATGAGTCCGAAATGTCGAATTTCGTTGTCGTGCAAGATTATGCTGGATCCTAGCTTTTTCTTTGAATCGAAGGTTATCTAAAAAAAAGAATAGTCTTAGTAAATTTGATAGGAGATTAATTTTGTATAATTTAAGATTTTTATATTAACACAAAACTGATTGTAAAATTTGAGGTATTTTTAGAAAAACTGGCAGAAAATTAGTTTTGTACAATACAAGATTTCTGTATTTTTGTACTAACACAAGATTGATTGTATTTGAGGCATTTTGAGTGAGATTGATAGTTAATTAATTTTGCCGGACGTTAACAAAAGATTGATCATAAAATTTGAGTGAAAATAGAAATAAAAATGTATGTTTAATCCCTTGTTGTGACTACTTTCAATTTTATAAAATATGTTTCACAAATTTGTTCAAACAGAAATTATATAATTTCGCAGATTTGTAATATTTTAAAAAGGTACAAGTCCCGTATCAAATTATTTTATATAACATATTTATAACAGTGCAATAAAGTGTTAATAAAAATTCAATTTCAGGATATTAAATTTTAATCTTTTTAATCTTGTATCAATTTAAAACTTAAAATTTAACGAAAATGGCTACGATAGTTTTTCATTAATATTAAGAATCTTCTACTAGTGTCATAAGGAACAAAATGGTTGAACATACACCACATCTTTCGAATAAATCCTTGAGTTGAGGCCATCGGTAAACTGAAAACCGTGTATGATACATTTGACCGATTATTATGGCGCATCTTTCTTGTGTTTCGTTCCATTTTGGTGTTCTGTGAGATACGAAAATGGCCGAATTCTTGCGCTGGGAGTCTGGGATTACAGGAACATCCGCCAGGAACTGATTCTTTTCTGCACTGTTTAAACATTTATGTTTGTATTATCAAACTATTCAGAATTAAAGATAAATTACTTTGCATTATTTAAGTCTTAAAAGTAACTTATAATAATCAAAATAACAGAGACTTAAAAATTGTAAAACATTAAAAGAGTTCAAAACGATTTTACATGAAAGTAAAGAAAGCATCTTAAAATTGTTAAAATATCAATAAATAAAAACAATAGAAAATATTTAAAAATAACTGGTAAGTACATAACAATAACAATTAATAATGATTGTTATTAATATATAATTTTTATAATTGAATAAATGATTCTTAATAATATATTGTCAAAATTGATCTTCTGTTCTAAAACTTTCAGAATTTAAAAATTTCAGAGCTATAGTCTTGTTAATTTAAACTATATTAACAAGACTTCCATACAAAAATTTACAGATAAATTTTTGATAAATTTTTAGAGATAAAATTAATATTATTATCTTACAGCTACAAACAGAGAAACAAATCTTTACATGTATGTTCCTCCAATAACAAATTTCAGCCAATCAATATAACTTTCCACAAAGGAATAAAAGGGCCGCACGTTCTGCAGCAACACCGTCAATTTTTCGTCGTATTGATCCGTATAACAATAGCAATCGACGGTTAAATAACCAACGTAACCGTCATTTTGAATCCCCATAGCGAATTTATTAACGGTGCTCTTCAGTTCGTTCATGTCCAACGAGCTCTGTGGTATCATGTACAGGAAGGTCGAAATCACTTCTGACTCTGTTGACAGAGAGTTAAATTAGTATAGTTAACAATTAGAGAGTTAAACAACAGTATAGTTAACAATCAGAGAGTTAGACAACAGTATAGTTAACAATCAGAGAATTAAATAATAGTATAGTTAACAATCAGAGAGTTAAATAATAGTATAGTTAACAATCAGAGAGTTAAACAACAGTATAGTTAACAATCAGAGAGTTAGACAATAGTATAGTTAACAATCAGAGAGTTAAACAACAGTATAGTTAACAATCAGAGAGTTAAACAACAATATAGTTAGCAATCAGAGTTAAACATAGACACTTACATAGCTACTTACATAAAATAGTTACCTATCATTATGAAACAAATCTCTGATTATCAAAGGCCGTTCTCAGAATATGCTTATTAGAGACCTCAACTAACACTACATACATCTTCCATCAAACATAAACCAAGTAAATTATAAATTAATACTTGTACAGACTCCACAAAATCTCTCTACCCAAATTAAGCTTATCAGCAGTCCCAATCCACTTCGGTTGCATCCCCGACCACTTTCCCGCCAAAAACAGCGACACCGAAATAGTCTTCGAGTTCTTCTCCATAGGAATAGCCTGCAGCAAGCACCCATACTTCTGAATGTGCACAAAGAACTCCTTCCATGACGCATACAACTTGGACAACCGCGTCACGCTCGAAACGACCCTGGGCAAATGTTGCATCAACTGCTCCAGGAACGCTTCCCTCAAACTAGGATACTGCTTCCACGCCTGTCCATGTTTCTCCCTCTCCCTCCTCAGCAGCGGCATAAACGGAACGCTTATGTGATTAATAAGAAAGATGCCGAAGTGTCTGTTCAGTATTCCGTAATTGAGCTTGATGAGCCACACGCAGACCTCCGTATGAAGAACAATGAAGTTTGCCAGAGTAGTACAGAGAGTTTTGTAGTCCTTAATGTTCCTGGCGTGTATGGGCTGCAGCAGACCCAGGTTCTCGATGATGGACGTCATGGTGGACGCGTTCAGCATCGTACGCTGGAGTTCCATGTCTGGACTCAGCAGAGGAATGTTCAGACTACCTGCCAGACGCATGTCGCACTCATCGACGAACCACGGCAAGAAAAATGCCGCCTTCCCGGCGATTTTCTTTCTTATTTCTTGTAAAGAGTCCTCAGAGCAATGCAGGATTCGCGACAAGTTCATAGATCGGTTTTTGAAGGTGTCGATCTGCGACAGAGCGATGAAGGTGATGCGTTTGGAGTCCGCTGGGTTTATCGACTCGATCAAGTCGCTGTACATCATCAGCAGGTCCTCCGTCGGTTTCAAGGGGAGAACGTAGATTATTTCCGTGTTGGGGTTGCGGACCATGCAGATCCTCATGCTCGACACGTTCTGCATCAGCCGGAACGTCTTCGGGTCGAAGGTTTGACGGACGTCGTACGGATGACCGATGGAGGGCAGGTGGATCATCACGTGGGGATATTTCACTATGTTGTTGAACTCCTTGCTGAGTTTTAGGGACAACTCGCGGGTGGTTTGCAGGGAGATCAGCATTCGCTGCAGGTAACGCTGGTGGAGGTCTCGACGTTGCTTTAGGGCCAGCCAGGAGAACCAGATGTAGCTCGCGGCGATGTAGAGACGGTTTGATTCTCGTTTTCTTTTTCGTAGCTGAAAAAATTAATATATTAGAGATATTTTGATTTTTAATTATTTTTGTGGATGTAGTTTATGAAGTGGTTGGATATTTGTCAAGATATTGTTAAAGTGTAAGTCCATTTACAGTATACTTTAGTTAAATTTTCCTACAAGAAATATAATCAATAACATATTGATAATTTAGTAGAAACTAGACTTGACTAATATTGTCAACTCACTAATATTTTAATTTTCGTAAAATGAGAACCCAAATCAGAACTTACACTTTCAAAATGAATGGTCCAAATATTAAGTGAAGTATGAATCACTTAAACCATACTCAAAATGCAATATAAAAATTTAAAAAAGAACTCGTAACAACAAATCCATCCATATTTAGAGATATTAACCAAGTAACCGCGCCATAGAGCCTGTATCATGGTCGCAGCGATATGTTGTCCTTCGATCGTGCAAAATTGCGCTCTCCACGTTGTCAAGCATCGAATTTCCTTTTTATTTCCTACCAGTCTGATTAAATCTCGCTTCTCCAATAAGAAGTTCGCCCCATTTTCCTCGATAGTGGACAGAAAATTGAAAGTGGCACGCGGTTTCAGATGTAAGACAGGTATCGCACGTTTTCTGACGATTCGTTCTATTTGAGGTCGGAGAACTAAATGCCATCTGGATCCGTATTGATTGCCGTGGACGTCCAAGATCCTCGACCAAATGTCGCAGTGTCTGAAATATCCGTCGATGCACTTCAAATTGGGAAGTTTAGATAATTCGTAGTCTATGGAGAACAAATGCGGTGGCTCTTTTTGATGGAGGACTTCCATGAAGGCTTTCGGTTGCAGAGACAGTTTGACGCTTGTGCGGACGTGCTTTTCGTCGACGGACTCGGCGGTGATTTCGTTTCCGCTTTCGCTGGAAAATATAGGATATTTGTGTTGATGTAGACTTCAGTTGGAAGGACTCACCACATTTTGCCATCTAGATTTGCGTCATTATTATTACTCATGTTTCGGATGAAGTTGAATGGCTTTGAGAGGGGCATATGCTGGTGGTATATTTTTTTTGTAGGTCGACGTGTAAAGGACATATGAAGGTCATTAATGTTTTTTTAAATGGAATCATATATTTTTTATTGCATCAGTTACTCCTTCATATTCTTTACAAAAAAGTATTAATCTATTTATGTGAGAAAATCATTAGTTTAGGAGATATTTTAATTTTAATGTCTATTTACAGAAAAGGTTCAATGT